TTTAATTTGATTATTTATCCCAGCTTCTTGTAATGCTTTTTCCCATTCTCGAATGATCTTTTCTAGCACACAGTTAAAGAGTATGGGTGAGAGACCATCTCCTTGCCGAACTCCAGTTTTGATTTCGAATGGCTCAGAAATTTCTCCAAGAAATTTTACTTTAGATTTAGTATTTGTAAGGGACTGTTTAATTAAATTTATCAGCTTATCATCTACACCAAATTCATTAAGTGTAGCGAACAAGGTTGGTCTATCAATGGAATCATATGCTTTTTTAAAATCAACAAAAGTGACAACATAGTTGCATTTTGTCCTGGTATAATGCCTAATTATAGATTTCAGGTTGAAGATTTGTTCCATGCATGACCTTCCTTTACGGAAACCTCCCTGATATTCCCCTATGTGAGCGTCAACTTGCTTTTCTAGCCTGGTTCTTATTACATCTGATAGAATTTTGTACGTTACTGGGAGAAGTGATATTCCACGATAGTTATTTGTATCTGTTTTGTCTCCTTTCTTGTGTAGTGGATGGATTAGTGCACATTTCCACTCATCAGGTATTTCTTCCGTTTCCCAAATTTTTTGAATTACGTTGTGCAGAGATTTTCTTAAATTTGGACCAGCAATCTTCCACATTTCGGCTACAATACCGTCTTCTCCAGACGCTTTATGCTTTTTTAATTTCTGGATTGTTTTTTGTATCTCTTCTAAAAATCTGTTATTATATAATGAATGCGATTTTTTCCTATAACATTCTATAAACAGTTTTAATTCCACCATGAGGAATTTGTCACTTTTTGGCATTTGATAACAGTTTAGAAGTTTTGAAATCAGAAATATTTAAGAGAAACAATCAGTAAAAACAAATCAATTCAATTCCTTATGAATAGAGCCAGATACTCAGACACCACCTTAGTACATCAGCTTATGAGAGCTGTTAGATATTGTAATATTTACAAGATATTTTATAATATTGTAACTTACAATATGCTTTGTGAATACTGGATTTTTTTGTATATGGCAACTTACCCCGTATTGTAAGTTACAATGAAATTTCTTGTGTTTTTGAATATGGACACAAGTTAGTAAGTTTCTTGCAAGTGAAGATATTCATCATGTGAAGTGGTCAACAAATCTCTGAATCAGAATCCAATTAAGCATGTGTGAGATGCTCTAGAGCAGGGATTCTCAACACTTTTTTTTACCTAATACATAACTCTAATACATAAGGTACTAAATCAAAATATGCTAATAATATGCAAACTAGTAACATATAGTTTACTCTCATCATTTTACTTTCAATGTTCTTCACGAAAATCAGACTTGATTAGTGTTGCAAAAATGGCAAAAAAGAGAAAACAAAAATTACATTAACAAAGTCACACATGTCTTGAGTTACTCACAACTGTTCTAGTTTTCACCTGAACCATTCAGAAGTTCCATTCTGCTCATGAATGACAATTCTTCTTGATGATAAACAACCTTGTAACCAGTATGACCAATTGTTATTCATAATGTTAACACATGCCGTACGTTTCTATATTCAACAGTTGACTCAACAGTGAATTTTCCATTGTGTCCCTCTGTTGAACGATCTGACGTCACGTTTTGCAGAAAAAAGAAACGCTTTCGTTGAGAGGTCGCTTTTCAAGATGGCTGACTTAAGTAACGAGAAGGTGGCAATTGTGTCTGTTTTGCTAAATAATTAAAGTAACTCGCTTAACCATTATTCGAATAAATCCTTTTATTCAAATGAACCCATATCTGTATCATTTTCTTGTATACTGGGTCTTTCTTTAATCATTTTAATTAATTTCTTGAATATATATTAGTGATGTAACGAGTATTTGGTTACTATTCGGTATTCGGCCTATTTTTCACTATTTGGCCGAATACCGAATATTTAATCACTATTCGACCGAATACCTAAAAGCAGGAGTAATAAATAACAAAAACACAGTAAATTAATCATTTTGTTATTTAGATTTACAGTCGACCCCCCTATAAGATATAGATACGTTCCAATTTATTAGGAATCCGATTTCTTATAAGTCGTTCCAATCACAGCCCGACACGTGTCAAGTTTACGGACTACGGCTGATTGAAAGGTTTTCTTCCATAAAATTAATCGATTCTACACTAATCCGACTCAACATTTCCAAAATACGTATATTTTCTCGTAGTTTTATAGGAATCGTAATTATAGGGGGTCGACTGTAATGTTATTGAGTTAGTGTTGTTTGTTTATATTTATTTATAACTTGTAACATGCACAAAATAAAAATGAAAATAATATTAGTCACATGTATTCACAATTTATAATTACAAAGATCAGCACACGTACAAGTCTATCGTTGGAGAATCCTCGCACATCTGAGGGTCTGACCATGCCTATCCTATCGTTGGAGAATCCTCGCACATCTGAGGGTCTGACCCTGCCTATCCTCCTTTTCAAGCGCTCGTCTTTGCTCTTCCCTTTCCTCTATCGCTCTAATCCACGTATGCCTGTGCATACATCATAATACGCGCTCATGATACTTTTGATTTGTCACTTTTCCGTCGTAGAGTTCCCATTTTACAATTACATGACAGTCTGGTGATAACGGAGAAAAGAGACAGATAGGACATCGATATAAGTCACAGTTATGATTTCACAGATTCTAAACAGCTTGATAGCCCGAACGGTCCCAGCCTTCGCCCGTGCATGCTAAGTGACTTTCATTACAAGCATTTAGCTTTCCGAAGTCTATGACAACAATTATTTGGCATTGACGGCCGCGAATTTCGTGCCAATAAGCTGCCTCGACTTGTTCGATTATGTTATCAACTCAATTACTTATTTATTTTCACTTCGCGGTCCTTCTCTGTTCTTTTTCCGTTATTTACACGTGTAGGTCATTTCATTGTTATACACATTTGATATCATCATTTATCACATACTTCCATGACACTCTTGTCTGTCCGCTACAACTGCCAAGAATTAATGCGATTGGCGAAGCGTAGTGACAGCGGGCCAATAGAGAGCAGGGTCCTTGCCATAATGCGATTTGGACACCAATTTTCGTACGTGCGTTAATCAAGCCGAATAGTTTGGCCGAATATACTATTCGTTACAACACTAATATATATCATTAGAAAGACTTAGAGGGCGAAATATCGGTCATAACCAATTTTGGACAAATGAAAAAAATCTTAATATTTCAATATTGACTGAATTATCCAACATAATCGTGCAATCACGTTTTATCATATACTGTACCTGTCGTTCATTAATCTGTCCTCTATTACAGCATCCACAGTAGTGAATGGATAGTTTCTATAAGCAAAATTTACTTTTTCATGGAAGCCGCCATCTTAGTTTGTTGAATACTCAACAGTCTTTCAGGTCGTCGAGACCATTGAGCTCAACGGCGAAACAAAGATGACGTCACTAGTCTCAAAGGAGAACTCAACGGTCCATTTAGAAACGTTGTTCTCTCACCGTTGAATATAGAAACTTACAGATGGTTGAAAAAGGCAACTACATATCATTTTATGGCATTAAAAGTAATTAAGGTATTTGTACCATTTTCTTGTTTTATGTAAATAAAGTTAAATTTTCACAATCCAATTATTTTGTTTATCAAAGAATGTATTGTTTTACAAACATATCATGTTTCATGTCCTTCTGATCAACACTTTCTAAGATGCATGCCAACATATATGCTTACTTTTTGGGAGATATCATCACTGTATATTATACTACAAAACAATTTTCTCTAAAACCAGCAAAAAAAATAACTTGCAAATTAAAGAAATCCCTACATAAGTTATTTCCTCTTTTTTAGTGTTATTGAAAATGAAGAATAATGCCAAGTTATGTAGTATTTCACTAGATCTCTGGGTTTAAGAAAAACATTTACTATTCATATGAAAATCAATGGTCTTAACATATTATATATTGATCTGGGCTATTTACATTTGTATTACTGTTTTAAGATACAGTAGAGCCTCAAAAACTCAGCACTTGATAACCCGGCACTCCGGATAACTCGGCCACACCCTGGCAGGGCAAAAAAATCCTTAGTTAATTAATTTTCATTATAGGACAGCTTTATAAAAGTATAAAAGCTCTCAAAGTATTTTTCTGAGGTCTGTCTTATCAGGTAAATTACTGTACAGTGTATTCATTAATTTTCATGTAGTAAAGGCTCTATGTTTTCATAAAGGATTTAAGAATACAACAGAGAATAAACTGTCCAAATACCATTAAACAAAGGGTTCCTTTGTTTAAGGGTATTTGGGCAGTTTATTCTCTGTTGTATTCTCAAGCAAACAATACATACAAGCACAGTACAATATTTTCTGAGGAAACACGCATACTTATCCTTTTTTTAACCCCATTCCCAATAACCCGGCATTTTCACAAACTCGGCCACCCTTCAGTCCACATTAGGCCGAGTTTTTGAGGCTTACTGTATCAGTTAACTATAGAATTCTAGATTTCGTGTTTTTCATTTTATTAAATTTACATCTCTATCCATAATCATCATCATCATCTTGTATCTGTAAAATTGCAAACGTTTTTTACTTTTCACTGAAAATTTTCTCAAACAAAACTTCAAACTCAAATTCTTCAAAACACAATATAATAAAATAAACATCTCATTTAAACATCCTACTGTTTAAACTCCATTTATTTCAAATAATGTCAGGGTCTTTTGAATGTAAGTACAGAAATAAACTAAACTTATGTAAAATCATTTGCATAAGAACAAGTTTAATATTAACACAAATATTCAAAATATGAAAGTGCCGACATATTTGAAACAGAAACAGACACTGCATTTATTTAGCATTGTATTTATCTATTTACTAAGTTATTTTTCACGTTCTCGTAATAAAAACTTGTTCAAATAGTTATATTATAAGTAATTACGAAAGATTATATAATTCAAAATTATTTTCAACGATGTAATTATAAGAAATGAGATAAAATGAGCTAGAGAAGAAAGACTTACCTCCAGTCGCCATTTTGACTGATCGAGAATAAATATCCCTTCTCTTCCATCGCCACTCACTGGTCACGAATTACGCCCTCTGCCGACAGTAACGAGAAACGTTAATTTTTTTGCTTTTATTCACGATTCGAAAGTTACGTCACATTACACGATTACTATTTTTAACATATTTAATATTTAGATTAAGCATTTCATTACACGAATTTATTTCATTTTATTATATTAATAATAAAATATGATGATGATAATAATAATTAATTAAGGTTAGGTAATTTACGTTAAAATAGTAAGCAATTGAAGAGTATCGGCCGATGGCCAGTAGCGTAACTAAGAATTTTAGTCCCCTAAGCAAAACATGGGAAAGGGCACGCTAATGCTGTAAGCGTAGTCCCTCCACGTTCCTGATAATTTTTAAAATGTTAGAAATAATATAGATTGGTGTGTTAAAAATTTTTTTAAACATCATCATACAGTTTAAATTCCAATTATTTCAAATACAGTATGTCTTTTAAGTCGAACAAAAAAATGGAAAAACATTTCAAAGTAATCTATAAAAATATTTATAACAAAAAATTAGAGAGGTTGCGGCCCACTTGGTTGCGGCCGACATTTTCAACGCGAAAACGTATACGTCGGACGTTCAGCGCCGCTTTACTAAAGGCCTAGAAGTTTGGCAATGGTGTTTGGAATGTCGAGCATGATTTCAAACACTATTGTCAAACTTCTAGGCTTATAAAAAAGCGGCGCTGAACGTCCGACGTACACGTTTTCGCGTTGAAAACGTCTGCCGCAACCTCTTTATTATTATTATTAATTGTAACAAAAATAAAAACTACAAAAATAACCACAGTAATCACACAAGGTGTACAATCAGTATTTTGATTAAGATTTAAAAAAAGAGAGAGAGAGAGAGAGAGAGAGAGAGAGAAAACTTATCGGGTAAAGCAATATAAGATGAAGAGCCGTGCCAAGCTTCCTTATGCCCTGTGCAATACTTTATTTTTTGTCCCCACATTTTGAGAAAAAAAGCAAGTACGTGGGTTACTTTTTAACGTTAACCGAAAACGTTGCGAAATAAGCCTCCATGACGGTAAAATTTAAAATTTGTAAATGAACAAATAATACTGATAATTTCGTTTATATCGCACTTTAGTGTGGCCGTCGGCCACGATATTGTATATATTTTTTTTTCTTCGAATTAATCCTATACTGTACTTCCTGTTTCTTTGTCTCTGCTAAGAGCTTCTACCTACCCCTTTTGCCCCTGGGGTAGGATTACTTTTTCTAAGAAAATAAGAACAAGAGAGGGAGTGGGGCCATGGGAATAGACCGGTCAGAAATAGAGCATTCTTGCCTTGGGAGAGACCCCGAAGAGAGAGGATCGAGAAAGGAGTGCTCGTGACCTGAACCGGCAAGAAGGAAAAAGACGATAAAAAAGAAAAGGGCCGTGAGGACAACGAAGAGTCCAAGGAACGAGAGAATTCTTCGATATCGAGAAGAGCAGAACAGACCTTGGGGAAAAAGACAGAGAGGCGCCATACTTCGAACAGTGTATATACGTACCAAAAGAAATCCCGGGTATTTCTATTCTCCCTACCCTTTGTTTCCATATTCATCTGTCCTATGTTCTTATTTTTTTCATTAGTTATAAGTTAGATATAAGTTAATTATATAAGTAATTTTTTTTGTTGTCACGTGTAAGAACCCCGCCGACAGTGGAGGACAAGCCTGTTCCCTTTTTTTTTTTATGTATAAAAGAGGCATAAAGTTTGTTAAGTTGGGATTCCTAAAGTAAAGATTCTGTGTGATAATTGAATTTTGTATCTTTCTTGTGTTTGTAACTTTCCGTTCGAGGAATTGTATACCTGTCCCGTAACGAACAACCACATTAGGACCCAATGCCTGTGAATCGATAACACCTGCCTAGTAACGATTGAGGTAAAACCTGGCCACCGAATCGCGCGACAATCAACATGAAAATGGGTTTAAACCGTCCGCGCACATTTCTACGATACTTCACTTCTACTTTAATTCTGAAGCGAGTAAATTTGACGAGAACGCTTGGTTTCTCGGTAAATAGGAAATAAAATATGAAGGTGATTCGACTAAGTTTTTACCCTCTATGTGACATAAACTGTAAAAACTATCTAAAATAAATAGTATACATTGATTTAAAATGAATCGTTCCTAGTCATACTTATGTAAGTGTAAAAAATTATCAGTCTGGTCTGGTCTGAGCCCCTTAAACGCTGCTTAATCGCGCTTAATAGTAGTTACACCACTGCCAGTGGGCTCTTTCAGTTGCTCCCAAATTAGTTAATTGAACAAAATATATTTTTAAAAGCAAACAGTAAGATTATATACATTAAAAAAATGTTGAATTTCTTTGTTTAAAGTTAATCTGTATGTAACATCTCTGTATGTAACCTCCTAGATATAGGACTAAGTGCATCTAGATGTTGCTCGGTCACGGATTATAAACGGTAGCTAATATTTTTAGCAGTTAATCTCACCTTAGAAAATTCGCCAGGATGAAGTGAAGCTCAGTGTTTTCGAAACACGGTTTGTAATGTTATAATTAGGGTCATCACATCTCTGGATTTGATCCGGAGTTTCTGTTTTCTTACTTCATCTCAGACTTCGAATCTTAAGATGATTTCTTATAAAGTAATAATAAAATTTTCGAGCATTCTAGGCCAAGATTAGGAAACGAAATTTGGCATCATAACTTTAAAAGCATTGATGCTATTAAATTTTGGAATAAGGAACTCAAGGTAATGGGAAGTAGAGGAGAATCATATGTAATAGCTCTTCAACGGCCGGATGGCCGAGCGGTCAAGGTGGCAGCCTACCGCTCTGGGGGACCCTGAATCGAATCCAGACGGGTCAAAGATTCCCCAGGAATTTTTCGGGGGATGGTCCGTTCGGATATGTCGGGCCCCGTCCCTCACCATCCGGTCGCCCCATTGTGGGCCCGGCCGAACCCATAATGGTCCTGTTATAAAAGGTCATCTTAGTGCTCACAGAGCAGAGTATTAAAAAAAATATGTAATATCTCGAGTGGAGTTAGATTTAATGAAAATTTTATTCGTTGTTGTCATTTAAAATAATTTTAAAAACTCATCTCTACACTCAAAATTAAACCCTTTGCCTTTTTATAATAATTAATAATATAAAAGTTATTTTTAAACAATATCTTATAACAGATGCAACCACACACAATTTTCACTTCAGTCTAGAGCCATAATGTTTTTTAAAATTACTTTTTAAATTGATATTTTTATCATAATTCAACAAAATTACTCCTTTTAAGCTTCTTTTATTATTTAAATTTTATATCATATTATTGTATAACTGAAAATTATCGAATTTCTTAATGGTTCTTTTAACCTCCTGTTTGAGTGCCGAGAAAGTCAAAACGCCCATTATCGGGTGCGTTCGTTAATAGCGGACGCTCTGCTACGAGAGCGGAAACGCTAAATGCTGCTTTTTGTAAACATTTAGGAACAACAGTGAAAGAAAGAAAAAGATAGCGGCGCCCCTACTATCTATAGTGTAGTGATGAAGGGATCTACGATTTTAAAATATGCGTTTTTAGAAACAAAAATTTAAAGAAGGGCCCCAATTATAAAATTTAATCATAAAATGGATTGTCTTGCCGACAGTGCATTCAAAGTAGCCACGAAATAAATTAGAATGTCGGCTACCATTCGAAAAAAATTGGAGATGATACTTACATCACCGTGTGCTTTCACAATTTCTAAATTTTCATTCATAAAACCATATAATGGACTCCTAAACGAAACTATCTGAGCCATGGAGGATGCCATGTTGCTTTCCAACGTAAACTACTACTAAGGGCTGTCGTTTTTGCTGTCCGAAGGCGCGCACTCCGGCTGGAATATAGGAACGTGTTCCTCAGGAATTTTTAAACGGATGCCGTTAACGCGAAATTACGCGGAGGAATAAAAACACACCTATCACCGTTTTTTATGGTATTTGTACAGAAAATTAGTTTATAAGGTATAGTAAGGAACTGTATTCTTATTTACTAAGAAATTAATAAAGAACTTCTAACTTCTGCTTATGGTCATATCAGAAATTTTAGTAACAGAAAGGAAGGCGTTGTTCTTATAGCGTTACGCAATATTATAAGTGTCTAGTGAGCACCGTAATTTTACAAGGTACGCGTTACAAGGGGTGAGAGGGTAATAAAATCGCGTTACGTACTTATGAAAGCTTCCTTGTTTATCTTCTTTTTACTCTTTCCTCCTTGTGGGCAGTAAGAGGACTTTTTAAATCATGCCCATCTTGGGTTCGGCTAGGCCCACAATAGAGGTGACCGATATATATAGATCGCCCATTAAAACTACTTTGTTTCTGATCCGAAAGAACCCGGATTCCTCAAAACCTGGTGCCTAAACTACCGTTGTCGTTAAGCTACGTAGTGATGAATGACGTCAAACCTTAAACGGATTCCATTAAATGAGGTGCATAAAAATTCTAACTGCATCCTATATCTCTTGACGTCAGCTACTTATAGAAAACGGCAGTTCCGACGAGACAAAGACAAAAATCGAAACGGATACTTTTTGTTATTTCAAAGAATAAAGATCTTTGGAATTAAGAGGATTGATATTCGTTTATTTGTGAGTGAATTTCTAGAATAGAAGCCTAATGTGTTCTTAAGTCTCTCTACGATTCACTGTTTTGACTGATCTCCAACTGTTACTTATACAGTAACGCTCAACATGTGAAATACTGGCTGTTATTTTTTACAAAATAACAGTTGAAAAACAACAAGTTGTTAAATATCAACCCATTACTACGTATGATAGACACGAAAATAGGTCCTAGTACCGGCAGGACGAAAAGCATTAAGAAACGATATATGTATTAGATATTATTTTTAAAACATATTTATTATTTTAATTTTAATCTTTTACGTCAGTAATTTTAATCTAGGGTTCATACAGTCTCGAGGTGCGATGTCTTAATTCTTAATAAAATGTATCAATATTAAACTTAAATATAGATATCTTTTCTGTTGTAAAATCTCTAATCTAGAACTAAATGTATTTTCATTTTGATGATTAGTCACAAATGAATTTTCTTCCTTAATCACTTTAGCCACATCTACAAGTTAGTTGTGAGTTGTGAGAAAATGGAATTATTTCACCACGTTTAAATTTAAATAAAAAAGACTAAATTTTTTCACGAGCGCAACATTGCATTTTAAAATTTCAATCGCAGAAATATTAGCAATAAGTGTGACTTTGTCACCAGTAGAAATCGTAGATATTTTCATAACAACCTAAAAACAATATTCTGCTGAGTTCATAACTCAATCAGACTACCAAAGGAATCCATGAAGCAAAAAAAAGGTAAACAAAATTTAATTGGTATAAATTTAAAATGTAATTTTTGTAGTTATACGTGTAGAAAAGTTGTCAACCTTGCAGGGTACAGATCTGCGCGTTTATTAAGATGCTAGCGCCATTTCTTGTCCGTAAGTAATTGTGTAAGTAGGTACTACTTTTGTTCAATTTTATATTCTTATTTTTCATCCTAGTTATACGTATTTTCTCTCTTTATATTAAATTTAATATATTTTAATGATATAACAGTATTATTTAAATTTTGCTCGTTGTAAAGTGGATTGTCATCGATCAAATTTGTCCTTTATGTCAATCCTACCATAATTCTCGTTAACTTTATATTCGATAAACTAAATTCAACATTTTTTACATCAACAGAAATATTTTTATGAATATAAATTGAAAATCTACATTCGACGAGACAAACAATATTTATTGATATTTGTGCGTTGTTTCATAGATGAAACTAATAATTAAGCATAGTACCTCCCGTTATTAACATCGTTACTGACTTGATATTGTCCCGCAGGAGGACCGTACTGTTGAGGAGGTTGTTGGGACACTTGTTGAGGTTGATAACCCTGAGGTGCGACGGACTGAGTGGCTACGGGTCGTGGAGCGGGTCCGGGCGAGGTGGCTTTGGGAGCCCCTTCTACTCCCACATCTCCGTGAGCCACGAAGCCGTCTTTACCTGCCGTGTATTTCACGATTCTCTGTTTACCGGTGGCATCCACATAACCATACGCCCCCTGAACACTTCCGTCGGGTAATCTAGTTTCTTCTCTAAAACTCTGTCCATCCGATCCCTTTCCCGTATCGTAACCAAATTTGTAGTCTCCTTGCAGCTGTGCGCCTATGTTTACGTAATGGACTGGAGCGGGAGCGTACGTTTGCCTCGGTCTGTCTTGATACACAGGTTGAGAGTTTTGAGCATATTGGGCATTAGATATACCCCAACAGCATCCCAAAATTACCTATATAATTATAAAACTTTATAAGTTAACACAGTTTATTCTTTATTTATTTGATTTATTCGACTTACCAGAAGGAACATGACGAACGGAACTGATGAAGAAGCGATTTTTCCATCCCTTTTTATAGGAAGAATCGAAAGGTTCGTCCATACTATTAACCCAGTTTTGGAAGGCTAAATCATTCTTCTATAGTTTTTTCTATCTGGGTCAAGTTCATCAGCTTCTCTGATGAGAAGATATTCCGATTATTTTAAAACTAGTTAAGAGTCTTAAAAAAATCAATTAATCGACTGTCTGATTGTTATTGACTGACAAAAATTATATTTTAAAAATACATTTTTTATATTTAAAATACAGCATTGTCATTGTCATTTTAAATAAAGGACGAGATCAAACTATTAATAAAATCCGACAGAAAAGTAGCAAGTATATCTTTGGCAATATGTGTTAGGTGGAAAGCAAGTTTAAAAAAATGTTTGCGAATTACTGATGAGGCTTTCATTAGTTTAAAACGATCGTAGGGATAATGCAAAAGATATTTCCGAATAGAGAACGTGAAAAAATTATTTGCGTCGATCGAAAGACAAACAATTAAATTAACTAACAATGACTCAAGGTTACCATCGATTCATTCGAAGGACACTCAACTTTTCGAATTGATTCTTCACGTTCGGCGCTCTCAATACGCTACCATTAAACAAAAGTTATTCGAAAAATAAACCGGCATATGAAAGAACTTTTGCTCTCCAATAACATTACAGTACTGTATTTTCTCTTTAAAAATATGAGAAAATATATAAGAACATTTTACTAATATCATCAATGAAAATACAGAATAAATCACAGCGAATAGTGGTACAAAGCTTAGCGGCTGTCCATAAATTACGTCCGCATTTTTCTTGAAATTTTTACTCTCCCTCCCCCATTGTCCCAGTTTGTCCAAGTTTCCATAACCCCCCTCTTCGGACGTCCAACAAAACTCAACCTCCCTCAAAATCTTTATCACTTTATGAATAATGAAATGTATAAACTGTGTAAAATTTAATGAAATAAAATAGATGTCCGTTGAAGTTCAACCCCATCCTCCCGTTCTCCAACTTTGTCATCACCCCTTCCCTCTCTTCCAGTGTGGACGCCATTTATGGACAGACCCTTAGAGGATAGCAACCATTTACAATATTACGGATATATGTAATACTAGCAGACCCCGCCACGAGTTGTTGTGGCTCAAAATGTATCTATTATAAATGTATAACACTTCCCGCGTGGGGGGAAATTTTTCGAAAAATTTCTTCTTAGTGTACCCTATTAAAACGCAATCAAAAACGCAAAAACCCGCATCTAAAATAGTATAATAGAAGTCAAGTTCTTCACGGTAAGCCTTAATCCTAACCATCTTCCTTCAGTGGAGGGGAATTTCGACATGTATATTAACTTATATAAAAACACGTGCGTATTCGAATGCAGCTTTGTGTCAAAATTTCAAAGGAATCGGTAGGAACAAACGAACATTACATTTTTATTTATATAGATAGATTGAAGATGATCTGCTTTAGTTCATTTTCACAGAAAAGCAAACTTAGGGCGTCGGTCCTACTCGTAGCGCCATCTGTTGGACATAAAAGCCTTAACCCTAGATGATATCTTAATTTATATGAATGTTTAACGGAATAATATACAACCTATGTCCACCCTGAAGTTCCATTCTAAATATTGGTGAAAGAATTTTTGACATCGGATGAGTAGTTTCGGAGATTACCTCCTACATCCAAACTTACTTACTTACATACTTACTTACAAACATTACCTCTTTATAATATTAGTATAGACGTCACGATTAGGTGGCCAACTCTTCCGGATTCACCGGGAGGTTTCCAGAATTTGGCAAAAATTTTTAAATTCTCTGACTTCCAATTAAGGCCTACTCTTCCCATATTTACTCCACAAGACGATCAACTTATGGGATATATGTCTATATTAAAACAGGATAACGAATAAGCAACAACATTTTTATATTGTTATGAGCAAAAATTGTCAAATCTTTCGCATTTTTTATTTTTGGTATGGAAACAGAGACATAGTGAGGCTATGGCCAATGTGGCGCCGGCAAAGGCGCAAAAATTGAGATTTTTAACTGCTAAATATATCATTAAAAACGTTTTTTAAAATAAATTGAAAATGATAGAAACATAAAAAATATTTTTGACATACAGGCGTATCCCAGGTTACGACCATCGCACGATAAAACAAACCCCAGATGCAACTGTCCATATATTTGTACCCCTCCCATGATTCGACTAAGCTTCTCCCACCGATACGTTTGTTTGGTTAAGTCAGTATGGCAACGCAACACTGGGCGATCTGCCTAGGGAAATGCCTCCCAGGAGGTCTTTTTAAGGGTAACTGGCCCCTATTCAGGAGCAACAGACGTGGAGAAAACCCATAAAACTTTACGTGGCCAGCCCGTCCGGGTGAGGCGCGAACCCACGATCGAACTACCAGTATTCAGGGAACGGAACCGTTTGGCCACTGGAGGGCCACACTATATCTACAACCACAGTCGATAGATATGCAGTAATACCTTGAGTTACGGGGACCGTAATGCAAACCGTAGACCTTTATATAATTCGAATTTGTAAATTGCTTAAATGTAACTACAGTTAATAACTCAACACTGTATTTATTATTATATGTGTACTCTACATATATTATTTATTATTTTTTGTATAAAAGAGTTGTTTAGTGCCCGGTACGCTTGCGTACGCGCTTACAATTAGACCGAAAAGTAAAGGATTAGCAGAGCAATAAAGTAATAAATCGGTACAGTGCGAAAGAAAGAAAAAGAGAGAGAGAGAATGAATGAATGAATGTTTGAAATGGAATATTCTTTGTAAAATTACATATTACTCTACTCAGATTTTTTTCCAATTTTTGAGATTTACATTTTATACAACTTCGAATTTACGTAAGTCGCGTGTTACGTAACTCGGGGTATTACTGTACTGGTCTATGAGCTACCAGTACAGTAACATGCCATTCTATAGCTCTAATGCTACAGAAGTGGCATAATAAATATTTCTGCTACTTCGAGCGCTGCTATCGTTTTGCGGCGTAAGTTTGGCTTCAGCATAGGGAAAGTCGGTTATAAACATACGAAATTCTTTTAATATGTGCATTTTTCTCGTTTTAACTCAGATATTGCTTTTGTCTTTTCTAATGGATTGCTTATAAATACTATTTTAATTCGGTTTTTAACATTATTTATTCGTAAAAGTCGTTATTACGTAATACGAGTTCTGTTCAAAAAATATGCGGACTGACGTCATAAAACAAAATGTACTTTATGTAGAAGTTACATGTCTGAATCCCCTTCAAAGTACTCTCCTTCCGAACACACACTTATCCCAACGGTGTTTTCACTTGTTGAAACAGTCCTGGTACATTTCTTTTGTAATGTCCTGCAATGCCTTCCTCGCATTTGCCTTAATCTCGGGAATCGTCTCAAATCTTCTTCCTTTCAAGGATCTTTTGAGTTTGGGGAACAAGAAAATGTCACAAGGAGCAAGGTCAGGTGTATAGGAGGGGTGGGGAAGAACAGTGATCGAGTGTTTGGCCAAAAACTCACGAGTTCTGAGGGCTGAATGGGCTGGAGCATTGTCGTGATGGAGAAACCAGTCGCCACTCTTGCACATTTCTAGCCTTTTGCGACGGATGGCATCCCTGAAACGCTTCAGAACTTCAATGTAGTAAGTCTGGTTCACTGTGGAACCTTTGGGGGAGGTATTCGTGGTGAACAACACCCTTAGCATCAAAGAAAACTGTCAGCATCACCTTGACATCGGATCGAACTTGGCGAGCTTTTTTGGGTCTGGGGATCACTTGAAACATGCCGTACGCTTCATAGCAACATCATCGTAAGCCGTGTTGAGCATAGCAAATGTTTCAGTTGCAGATTTTCCAAGTTTAACACAAAATTTCACAGCAAGTCGTTGCTCCAGCAGGTCATTCATTCTGAAATCCGACAAACGAAAAAATCGCACATCACTAAAAACCACATAGCTAATCAACAAATCAAGATATCTGTAATCGGGAAACGGCTTTATCACCAGACGATCTGTACAAACGTAGCGATACCAAGCAGATTCCCCTGGAACCAACTGCAGCCGCGCAATTCAAACAGTCCGCATATTTTTTTTAACAGACCTGGTATTTCTATTAATTAACTGTCACTTTCACGATTTTAGACTTTAAATTGATTAGACTGTTTGTTTTTTTGCTTACAATTTATATTTGTTTTTGCATATTTTTAATAGTTTTCGTTAAGGGTAAGAAAAGGTAGTAAAAAAATTTATAGTTAAACCTGTATATACATTATTAATATGGGATGTCTTCGGGATTCCCGAGAACTCTCTGAATCAGGAAGTAAAAGAGTTGATGAGAATTATATACATTTAATTATGGAAATCTATAGAAATGTTAAACCAAGTGTTAAGATAGGACAGATTAAAGTGTTACAAAAAAGGAGATTTAGAAAATAGGGTGGCTTTAGAGTTTATCATGGTTAAACCCATATTTTTTTCTATTTATTAGGTGAATTATTGTAGTTTGCAGTGAGAAAGGAGCTATGATATATGTTATTCACAATTGATATTGTGTTTTATTAATGAGATAAAGAGAGATTAAAGTTGAGCCAAAAAAAGTTAGAAACAAGTTAGAGAGAAGATTAAAAGACAGTAGATTTAGTTGTTGGATTTCAGATATAGACTGTTAGAAAAAGAGAGAATTAGACTTCAGGATAAGTTACAAAAGTGGAAATTCCAACTATTTAGACAACATATTCACATATTTATGGGCACGTAATGACTTAGAGGTAATTAGAGGATGATGAGTTAGAAGTTGACAAATAAAATAGATAAATATAGAATGAGAAGAGTTCAGACAGTATTATTAGATATCGATAGTGACAGTAATTAATGATGACATTAGGCCCATATAAACGAAGGACAGGAGTAGTAGGACATCAATAAATCTTCATTCATATTCTACTTTTGATAGTGCAGAATATAATATAAATGACCAAAATACGTAAAGCCAATGCGAGTGTCATAAGAAATGAGATTTCTCATGTCAAAAATATAAAACTGTTTCATCCCAAATACTATTTTTTCAATTTACTGAATCAAGTAAAGTTGTATAGCATACTTTATGTAGTGTTAAAGTTAATAAATTATTTTTAAAAAAATAGTTCGTCTTTATCTAGATTAAATTTCTATGGCTATTTAAATGTATCAGAGCTATGGTTTTCCTAATTATATTGTAATACATATGTAATAAAATAAAACAGAAAAATGCAAATTTATTTACTAATTTTATCATC